TCAGGTTTTACACTAGTGAAACAATGCAGTGCTTGCACATGTATGTCTGATTTATTTCACTTATGAGTATGGTCTCTAGTTGTGACCATTTACCTGTAAAGGCCTCGAGTTTATCTTTCTTTAGAGTTGAGTAATATTCCATTATATAAAAGTACCACAATTTTCTTATCCAATCCTCGGTGGATGGACATTTGGGTTGCTTCCATAATTTAGCAATTACAAATTATGCTGTGACTGGTGAAACCACTGTGGAAATCAGTTTGGAGATTCCTCAGAAAACTAGGACTAGAGGTCCCATTCAACCCAGCTATCCCCCTGCTGAGTAATTTCCCAGAAGATCTAAAAACATCATATCACAGTGATATATGTGCATCTATGTTCATAGCAGCACAATTTGTAATTGCTAAATTCTGTGGCTTTTTTTTTTAAGCAAAGCTTTTTACCTTTGCAGTTTTGAGCCTGCATAGGATGGAGACATTGTTTTTTGTGAAGTCCTCAAACCATCTTTTTTATTTTTTTGGTTTTTTTAGCCTTGTCTTTGCAGTTTATACCTTTATTGGAGCTTTTTTTGGCCAAACTCACAACGTTTTAAATTATCTTGTTGGGCTCTTTGCACTTGATTTTTAACATAAATTGGCTAAAAGCCCCTAACAATAGCCATGCCACTGCCTTAATATTTAACTGCCTTGAAATTTTTTTTTGCCAGATTAATCACTCTACCACCATTTTTAATCTCAGTCTTCGGCAAAGTTTCTGGACATGAGTAAAATGTAGACAAACTTTTTGCCAAGCCATAACACACATCACCTGGAGTCTAACAACCAACACAGTCTTTTTTTTTTTAGCAGAAACATCTCGAACCCAGTCTTTCCCTACCCCACCCCCCCGATACTGGTACCTCTAGACTCCCCAAGTTGACACAATATATCAACCATAACAGCTATAAACTAAGTGGTTTTAAAAACTTATGTTTCACAGTTGTGGATATTGAGAATTCCATGATCAAAGGATCACTGTACTCATTGTCTGGTTCTGTCCTGTGTCTTAGTCCACAGATCACAGACGGTATTCTCAATGTGTGTTTTTGTTGCTGAGTGAAGATTCAATCACTCACTGAAATTTCAGAAAATTAACTACTTTATGACAGATCCACCCTCAAGACCTCATCTAATATGAATGATATCTCAAAGATCTAATCTTCTGATACCATAACACAAGGACATGACTTCATTATAGGAATTTGGGGGGAAAGAGACACTCATTATACAATGGTCATTTTTGTTTGACTGAAGACAACAATGATCATAGTCTTCTTCCTAAAAAGCCTTCTTTTGTCTCTGCAGGCTAAATCCCAAGAACTACCAGTATGCTCTGGCCTTGATTTTTGCCATTGAGGAGATCAACAGCAATCCCCACCTATTACCCAACACATCTCTGGGATTTGATCTGTATAATCTCTATAATGGTCTTACATCACTGAAAACTTTTCTCATTTGGCTGTCAGGATTGGATGAGAAAATCCCTAATTACACGTGTGGAGGAGAGACCAAGTTTGCAGCAGTACTTACAGAAACACCGTCATCAACATCTTTTCTAATTGGTGCACTGTTGGAACTCTACAAATTTCCTCAGGTGAGCGTGGGTGTTGAGTAGACAGAAAATATCTTTTGTGATGAAAGCAGAAGACTGGATGTCTACATGTATCAAAGAAAAAACTATCAAAGGCTAAGGACCCAGAATGGAGGGCTACCTATCCTTTATTTGCAATTGGGAGAGCAATTTGGGAAAAGTCGAGATTGGAATCTGGAACTACATGTCTAGTTTACTGTTTCATAAGACACAGGAAGTGAATACAGTTTGACACAAATGAAGAGCAAACCTCCTCTGTCTCTACCTGCTGTTTCTAAATACACTTCTGGATTGAGATATGAGTTATATTAATTCTCTTCTTCCTGTTATGTTTTATTTCCTCCTCCCTTCAGCTTTCATTTGGGATTTTTGATCCTACCCTGAGTGACAGTGGCCAGTTTTCTTCTCTCTATCAGATGGCCCCCAAGGACACATCTCTGCCCCTTGCCATGGCCTCCTTGATGCTTCATTTCCACTGGAATTGGGTGGGGATAGTCATCTCAAAAAATGAGAAAAGTGTTCAATTTCTCTCAGCTTGGAGAGAAGAAATGGACAGGGACAACATCTGTGTAGAGTTTGTACATATTATCCCTACCCATATAAATGTATACATAAACAGCTATCACCGATATAACAAGCAGATTGTGACATCGTCAGCAAACGTTGTTATTGTTTTTGGAGGTATCGGCACTTCTGTAGGCATGTTTCTTAGAAGATGGGAGTACTTGAGCAGAAGGATCGTCTGGGTCACCACCTCTCCGTGGGACGTTGCCATTAGCAAGAGACATTTTCTCCTCAGCCCATTGCAAGGTACTCTCATTTTTTCACACCACCATGGTGAAGTTTCTGGTTTTAAAAATTTTATCCAGACAGTGAATCCTTCAAAATACCCAGAAGATATTTTCCTTGCAAGACTGTGGTGGACGCATTTTAACTGCTCAGTGTCAGAGTCTACATGTCGGTCCCTGGAGAACTGTTCATCCCATGGCTCCTTGGAATGGCTACCCTGGCACTTTGACATGGCCATGAGTGAGGGGAGTTATAATATATACAATGCTGTGCATGCTGTGGCCCACGCCCTCCATGAGATGCTTCTTCAAGTAGATATAGAACCAAAGAATAGCGGAAAAGGACTGGGATTTTCTCCTTGGCAGGTAATGTCATTTCCTTTTTTGTAATGGTCTGTCAGGATGCAGTATTCTTTAAAAGTCACAAAAGTGCTCAAATAAAGTGGTCTAAGGTCCTTTGCCCCCATAACAAGCATTTCTGTACTTTTTTCCACTACCAAGAAGTTATATATAAAATGGGTCAGACTGAGGATGAAGACAACAATGGTGTGGTAGAATTTCAGGAAATATCAATGCTTTTTGTTCCAGAAGAATAAAACATTCAGCCCTGCTCACACCGTCAACAGGAAAATCCTAGGCTTTTTCATTAATTTCTCAAAGAAAACAAGGGAGCCAGCAGTTTAAGTGCCTAAAATATTCTGATCACTGAAATGCAGAGTTTCATATATGAATCTGTGTAATTTGATAACCTCTTTAGGTATTTGATGACCTTCAAGAACAATGAAAGAGGAAAGTGGATTTGACATTTATATGATTGTGGTGCCCACTGATTTTTGAGGTGTGCATATCTTAGAATATTTTCTCCTGAGTCTCACTGGTATTATAGAAATATTGTGTTTTTTAGCTTTCCATGAGCTATCACCTTTTACTCCACTGTCTTCATGTAATAAAACTGTATTTTGAGTAAGGACTTAGGAAATGAGAGCACTGCCTCATTTGTACATTCTTTCTTCACTCTGGGACACACTTCATAAAAAAAGGATATTTTTTTTTAGCTGCACTTCTCCCTGAAGAACTTGCAATTTAAAAATCGTATTGGAGACACTGTGGATATGAACCAGAAAAGAAAATTAAATGCAGATTATGACATTCTCAACCTTTGGGATTTTCCAGAAGGACTTGGACTTAAGGTGAAAGTAGGAAATTTTTCCTCATATTTTCCACATGGTCAGCAATTGTCCCTGTCAGAGGAAATGATAGAATGGGCCATGGGACATACAGAGGTGAGTTGGTTTTTATTATAATTCTTATTCTACCTGTAAATTACCAAAATCTTGTATGGGCACTGTGTCTCTGCAAAGCTAAGTAAAAAATTACATATGGACATTGAATTTCTTTACTTTTTGCTTCCAAGTTTCTCCTTAATCATTTTGATAGGTGCTAAAGAAGCATATTAACTCAACCATATGTTTGTGAGTGCCATGTATTGTGGCGCATGCCTGCAATCCCAGCATCTGGAAGGCTGAGGCAGGAGAATCACCATGAGGTCAAGACCAATGTGGGCTATATAAAAGGCCAGCTTGAACTGCATAGCAAGACCCTGTCTCAAGCAAAACAAAGTATAACTTTCCGAATATTTACGGTGTTTCCTCAGTTCTCAAGCTTGATTCTTTCCATGATTCTGTTTGCAAACTGAGATGGATGAGAATCAAATTAAATTCAGTGGTTCGGTTCAGTGTTGGCCTTACGGGGAAATTTGATTCTATATTCCATTACGGGGAAATTTGATTCCATTCTTCTCCACTTTGGTTTGCAACCAGAATCATGGAGAGAACTGAGTGCATGAACCAAGGTATCTCTGTACACAGAGCAAGTCCTTGACTTATGAACATTCAAGTTGTGAACTTTCACATAACAGCATATGTCACATTATGTAGAAGTGAAGTCATGAAAGTAGCTCATGTGTCTGCTGAACCTTGTCATAGTGCTCAGCTGTGTGCTTACTGTGCCACGCAACAGTATCTAGTTGCTGAATCAGAGCCCAGGACATCTGTAAACAAGAGAAAAAGGAGTTGTGATGTGGAGATTTGCATTACATCTGTGCTTTACATTGTATATTCGTGTTAAAGGTGTATACGACTCACTTTGTCAGGCTTACAAACTAATATGACTTATGAATGTTCTCCTGGAAGAGAACTCATTTAGAAATTGGGGACTTGGGCTGGGGATTTAGCTCAGCAGCACAGCACCTTCCTGGTAAGTGCAAGGTCGTGAGTTCGATTCCTGGTACTGGGAGAAAAACAATAGACATTGGGAACTTACTATATAATAATATTAAATGTACTTGAGATTTGTTCAATTAATTGGACATAGTCCTATGCGAAGTGAGTTTACCGGTGGTCCAGTATTCTAAAAGAACGTAGCTTTCAAAGAAATAGGTGAAAGTCTTATCTACCACCAACACATATCTTATTTTCCTCAGCGTCCCAATTCTGTATGCAGTTCCAGTTGTAGTCCTGGATTTAGGAAATCCCATCAGGAGAGAAAGGTTTTGTGTTGTTTTGATTGCATCCCCTGCCCAGAGAATGAGATTTCCAATGAGACCAGTAAGTGTGTGCCTTATGGATAAATTCTATATGTCTCTTATATTCCTCCATTCATGAATTAAAATGGCCAGAAAAAAGGAATTGCGTGACAAAATTCTGCTATTCTTAATATTTTATTTTTTATAGACCATCATAGTTTGTCTTAGATTAACACCAGTCCAGTGACTTAACCTGGATTCTTTGACTAGTATGTTTAGACTCATTGATGATAGCATTGTTTGCAGATATCCCATTTTGACAAGTCTACAGTAACATAGATTTTTTTCAGCTAATTTGATGCATGGGATTATGTACCTACAGTTCATCTTTTGAAACTATCTATAAATCATATTGAAGACATAATGCACCTATTTTTACTTTTCAGTATTCAGTTATGTTCTTGAAACCAAGAAAACATTCAACAAGTTTTTTTTAGATTACAATACATGTATTTCTGTGATGTGTAACATATTATATAGTGTACACTGTAGAGCATATCCTTAATGGGTAAGTTGTGTCTCTAGATCACCTCAAGTTACCTGGTAAGTAGGGAAGTCAGTCAATGGAGATGTGAATTCAATTTAGTGTTATAAGGCTGCAATAAATATATATTGAGCCTAGAAAATAAAACAAATGATGCTGTCTGTATTTGTGCAAAGGTATTGTGGATTTCTTGAAAAGTGGTGATAATATTATATCAGATGAAGTAAGGATAGAATCATTTATTGATAAAATTTTTAGAAATGGTTAAATATGGAAAATTACAATTTAGTGTAGCATCCAGAGACACTGAAAATGTCAGTGGTACTTGTATACAAAGAAGCTAAGCATGGTTTTTGAAACATGATGGAGAAAAACTGGGAGAAGACCAGTATTTAGAATTTTTTTACACAACACAATATATTCTGTCAGAAAGAATGCTAAAAGAAATAGTTTATTGGAAATGAAGTAATACATGTGTTTTCTCAAGTTGTATTGAATAAAATATAAGTTCCTAAGGAATTAATGAATTAGTAATTGATTTTAGCAGTGGCAAAATAGAAAATTTTAAATTTTTGCTTATCTTTCATGATGTATTTCTTAAAGAAATTTAAAAGGTGACATTTTACAACTTTTATTTTTGGTACCAGGAGTTGAACTCAGGACCTTGTGCTTGGCAGACAGGTACTTTGCCACTGAGCTATACCTGCAGCTCTCACATTTACAACTTTTAAAACTTATGAAGGGGAAATATATATATATATATATAATAGCTAGGATAATTGTACTTCTAATTTCTATTGCTTTATTGAAAGGAACGGTTAATGTTTAATTGTTTGATCAATCTTACATGCCTATATTTTCCTGAGTAACCAATTTGAAGACAACAATATGTAATACAACAACCATTATTAATTTCCTGTCACCTTGTCTGAAATTCTGTATTACTTTTATTACTGAGCAGGTATAGCTCAGTGGCAAAGTACCTTTGCATCAACCACACAAGAGAAACAATGCAATATTTAAACTTCTGTGCCTGATTTACTTCACTCAAAAAAGTGGTCTTGAGGTGCATCCATTTACCTATAAATGACTTAAGTTTATTCTCCTTTATGGCAGGAGAGTGTGTTGTATATAAATATGACATTTCCCTTATCCATTCATCTGTTGATGGACATGTAGGCTGTTTCCAAAATTTAGCTATTATGAACCGTGCTGCTATAAACATGAGTGTGCATATAACACTTGGGTGATTTGCTTTTAACTCCTTTGGGAATATACCTAGAAGGGAAGAGCTGGGTCAAATGGAGCACCTAGATTTAGTTTTTTGAGGAGTCTCTATACTGATTTCCAGAGTGGTTCTACCAATTTACACTCCCACTAACAATAGGGAAGGGTTCCCTTTTCCTCATAGCCTTGCCAGCATTTGTTATTGGTTGATTTCTTGGTGATAGTTGTAGTGGATTGACAACTGGTGGTCAACTTATAACCCCCAGCTGAACTGAGTAAGCGTGGTGCTGGATGTGGGAGGTGCACCTGGGGATTGTTGCCAGCAGCATAAGAGGCAGAACTGGAGAAGAAGGAGGGAGACTGTTGGGAGCAGAAAAATGCTGCTGGGAGCTGGTGGAAGATGTAAGGAGCTGTTGGTTGTTTTGGAGGAGCTTGTCATGCTTGCTTTCCTGATGAACTTGGCTGTTTTCATCCTCTGAGGAGCTCAGGACCTTGTTGGCACTGAAAATGGTGTCAGTTCACTTTGGGGGCACTCTGCTCCTCACTTTGAGCATTGCTTCCTGGCTCCAGAGGGGAAGATGGTGAACTGCCGGTCTCCTGGAGAAGCTTGCTGCGTTGGTTCCCTGATGGGAACTTGGCCATCTTGATCACTGGAGGAGCTCAGTACCTCACTGTTCTTATATGACACATAATGTTGAATATTTTTTCACATATTTATCTGCTGTTCGTATTTCTTCATCTGAGAATTGTCTCTTCATTTCAAGTGCCCAAATTTGGATTGGGTGTTTAAACTGGAGAGTCTGATTTTTATTCCCCATATATTCTAGATATTAGTCTTTTGTGTGAGAGGTAGCTGATAAAATATTTCCTCATCCCAAAGGTTGTCCCTGTAATCTGTTGGTGGCTTCTTTTGCTGTGAAAAGTTTTTAATTTGATGTGTATCCAGTTGTTAATGCCTTGTATATTTCCTGTGTGATTGGAATTACATTCAAAAAGTCTTTCCCTACACATATGTTTAAATCTTCTATCTTCTTCACAAGTTTTAAATCTTCTATCTTCTAGCAGATTGTTTCTGTTTTTAGATTTAGATCTTTGATATATTCCACTTTTAGTGTATTGGACAGTAACAGATATGAGTCTAGATTCAGTCTTTGGCATGAGGAAAGCCCATATTCCCAGCAATATTTATTAAAGAAGCTATCTTTCTTCCAGTGAAGGTGTTTGTCCCCTTTGTCCAAGATAAGAACCTTAGTGTGCTTGGAATTGTTTCTGCATGTTCTGCTTTATTCCATTGATCCTTGATTGGTTTCTTGGATTTTTTATTTGTTTTGTTCTGTTTTGTTTTGTTCTGTTTTATTTGTTTTGCCTATACCATGCTGTTTTAATCATGGTAACTTTGTCGTCTAACTTCAAATCAGTAATTTCAATGCCCCCAACTTCCCCATACTGACCATAATTGTGTTGGCTATTCTAGGTCTCCTCTGCTTAGATATAAAATTTAGAATTGTTTTCTCTAGTTTGTGAAGTATGCTATTGCAATATTGACTGGGATTGAGTTAAATCTCTGAATATTGACTGGGATTGAATTAAATCGGTGAAACAGTTTTGAAAGTGAGTTTGCCACCTCACTACATTCAATCTATTTATCAAAGAACAGGGGATGTCTTTCAATTTCTGCTAGCCTCCTTAATCTCCTTTTTCAGAATGTTATGGTTTTCAAGGTAAAAGTCTTTCAGTATGTGATCTATTTTGGAGAAAGTCCCAGGTGCAGCTGAGAAGAATGTGTATTCTAATGCTGTGAGGTGGAACACTCTACACAACTACTAAGCCCATTTGTTCACAACCTTTGTTCAATTCTGCTATTTCTTTGCTGATTTTTTGTCCCATTGACCTATCTCTTTGTGTCAATGGCGTGTTAAGATCCCCCATTACAACAGTGTTGCTAGTTATTTGATTTTTCATGTCTATTAAGATCTGTCTTATACAGCTGGGTGCTCCCATATTTGGTGCATACCTATTTATGATCGTTATCTCTTCCTTTTCAAATCTTCCTCTGACAAATGTGTAGTGATCTTCCTTATCTCTTTTGATCATTCTTGGTTTGAAGTTTGCATCGTCTGCAAACAGAATAGCTACCCCTGCTTTTTTCTGGGTTCCTGTCACATGAAGGACTACTTCCAACCACTGTGGAAATTAGTGTGGAGATTTCTCAAAAAAACAGTTTTAGAGGGCCCATTGGACCCAGCTATTCTCCTTCTACGTATTTCTCCAGAAGAAATGAAAGCAGCATACCACAGCAATATATGTGCACCCATGTTTATAGCACTGCAGTTTGTTATACCTAAACCTTAGAAGCAGCCTAAATGCCCACCAACTGAGGAATGGATAAAAAAGCTGTGGTATTTCTATACAATGGGTACTACTCAGCTATAAAAAAGATAAACTCGAGGCTTTTATAGGTAAATGCATGCAACTAGCTACCGTACTCATACGTGAAATACACCAGACTCACATGTATAAACATCATATTGTCTCCGTAGTATAAGACACTGGAAGAATAAATAAGATCCAAAACATACACTAGGTATAGAGAAAGGGAAAGAAAGTGCTCAAAAGGATAGAACAACTGGGATGGTGAAAAGAGAAAAGAGGGAAGGGGGAAAGAAAGATATGTATATATATACAAGGTAGCTAAGATAATTTTACTACTAATTTCTATTAGTTCATTGAAAGGAAGAGTTAGTGCTTATATTGTTTGATCAATTTTGCATGTCTGTATTTGGTAATCTAAGAAACTACCTTGAGGAAAACAATATGCATTGTAATAACCATTATTAATTTCCAACCATCTTGTTTTGAAATTCTGTATCATTTTTATTGTTTTTCTTTCTTTAAAATAAAAAGATGTACCTTAGTGAGATATACAGGTTTTTTACATCTCAAATTTATATTTGAAATTTACCCTCCAAGTTCATGATATTAACAGTCTTTTGTGTTGGTTAGGTCAAGATTTAAAAATACTAAAATTTTAATCAGATTCACCAGATATTCAATCTGCTGCCTCTTTGATGCTGAATGAAGTGGGCTCTAAGATTCTGAGGAAATAAATTTATACTTTGATGGATTAGGCAGCCTAGGGATTTTTAATCATAGAACCTTGAATGTGCTAAGATCATAGGTATTTTGTCTTTGCTGGAGATAAGAAAAATGACCTCATGACTATTCAGCACTAGTAAAAGCTAGACACAAGAACTTTGTGTACATAACCATGAAAATGATACACAGCATTAATGCAAAAGCTTTAACTACACATCATTTTTCATTCGCTGTCCACAGCAACAGTGAAGGACAAGACGGCTAAGCTCACCCCAGGCATTACTTTGAGGGGGGTCAATGAATCACTGCCAATTCCTGGACCTGTACTCATCAAATTTTGTGTTCCTCAACAGATATGGATCAGTGTCTGCGGTGCGCAGATCATCAGTATCCCAACAAACAGCAAGATCTCTGCCTCCAAAAGGCTGTGACATTTCTGGCTTATAAAGACCCCTTGGGGATGGCACTGGTCTGCATGGCTGTGTGCTTCTCCATTCTCACTGCTGCTGTCCTTGGGCTCTTTGTGAAGCACCGACACACTCCCATCGTCAAGGCAAATAACAAAGCTCTCAGTTACACCCTGCTCATCTCCCTCACCTGCTGCTTCCTCTGCTCCCTGCTCTTCATTGGCCGGCCCAGCACCGCCACCTGCATCCTCCAGCAGACCACATTTGGAGTCGTGTTCACTGTGGCTGTTTCCACTGTATTAGCTAAAACTACTACTGTGATTCTGGCCTTTAATATCGCTGCTCCAAGCAGCAGGATGAGGTGGTTGCTGGCATCACATACACCTAACGTCATTGTTCCTGTCTGTACTGTCATCCAACTCACTCTCTGTGGCGTCTGGATGGGGACAAATCCACCCTACATTGACACAGACGCTCACTCTGAACATGGCCACATCATCATCGTGTGCAACAAGGGCTCCCTCACTGCCTTCTACTGTGTCCTGGGGTACCTGGGCTCCCTGGCCCTGCTGAGCTTCACCGTGGCTTTCCTGGCCAGGAACCTGCCTGACACGTTCAATGAAGCCAAGTTCCTGACATTCAGCATGCTGGTGTTCTGCAGCGTGTGGGTCACCTTCCTCCCCGTGTACCACAGCACCAAGGGGAAGGGCATGGTGGCCATGGAGGTCTTCTCCATCTTGGCCTCCAGTGCGGGGCTGCTGGGCTGCATATTTTTTCCCAAGTGCTACTTTATTTTGCTAAGGCCAGAAATGAACAGTTTGCATCAATTCAGAACTACAATTCATTCTAAAAGCAATAATTCTCACTAATATTCAAATTGCATTTCCTAAAGTAAATAGAATTCTGAAGACAATGTCACCCTGTTATAACTTTTAGTATTGGGTTACAAAATTAGATGTTTTTCAATTGACAAGCCACTCTTATTTACATGTTAGTATTTGTTTCTATAATACTTCAACTTTAAATTTTATTATGTTATTTCCACTGCCATTATAGTCATAATTAATGCTGAGATTATTCTTTAACAGTACTTGTTGAATCCAACTGGATGCACTCTTTTCCCCTGGCTTTCAAAAGTGACCTTGTCAACTTGCATTGTAGGAAGTCATACAGGCTCCATTTTTGTCTTGATTTTACCATTAAACTAATAAATACCATTCATGAAAAACCGACTGACAACCTTGTACTCAATGCACAAATGTGAAAGCATTCCCAGTAAGCTTAGGAAAAGACCAATGTCCCTTCTCACCAGGCTTGTTCAATATAGCACTTGCCAGATTAACCAGATCAATCAGAAAAAATAATGAAATAAAATGAGCTTGAACAGAAAGTGAAAACGGCAAATATCATTATTGGCCAAAGAGAAAACCTTTACCTAGAAAATCCATAAATCTTCACCAAAACATTCTTAGAAGTAATAAACAAATTCACCAAACTGTTAGAATACAAAATAAAAACGGAGAAGCCCCAGGAACTGCTCTAGGTGGGAGGGGGAGGTGTGGCCCCTCCCTGCACGCTCACTGCGCCAAGTGAGCAAGTGCCCCAAGAGCTGCTGGTCCCGCGGTTCGAGTCTGTGCTTCACTCCCACTGCCATCTTATTCCTGTAGGTGTCCTCAACTGACTGGAGACACAGAATCAGGTGGTTCACAAACTGTCCACCCTGCAGTTTGTGTCTGGGTTTTGCCTGTGCCCTGAACTGCCTGGGGACATAAGTTCACTGGACTGGGATTGTCACACCAGTGCAACCCAAGTGTGGGCAGTGCACATGCCCTGAACCACAAGGACATGCTGGATCAGATGGTCTGCCATCAGCTGACATCAATGCCCACGTCTCAGACCTGGGATAACTAGATACAAATCAACAACTGCCAGAAAACCAGAGACTAAGTAGTGCTTCTCAGGGGTCACTCAGGGGCAAACCTGAACAACCAGAAAACTAGGGACACCAGTGGCTTTTGCTGTGTAGCCACTGAAGATGGAAAATGAGCTTTCTGCATCTGGTAGCAAACATGCCAAAACGAAGCACTAAAACACAATCCCAGAACTCCACCACACTCAGAACAAGTCCAGGAGACATCAACATAGGAGAAGTTGGTAAACACATGCCTGAAATAGCTGAAATAATTGCAACGGAAGTAAAGAAACAACTCCATAAGAACATAGAAGAGATGAGATCAGAAATAATCTCTCAGGCAAAAAATGAAATGACAATAACAATGAAAGAACTGTTCAAAAAGTCTGAAGATGAAACATATAAGAAAATAGAAGAACAAAGGCCTGGGACAGAAGCAGAAAAATATAGAAAGGACTTAGAACACATGAACCAGATTCAAAGAGACTTCCAGGAAAACAAAGCTGCCATTGAAAGCTGCCAAAACGGCTTGAATGAAGCTGAAGATAGAATCTCAGACTTAGAAGACAGCATGGCAGCTAGTGACTGTGAAAGAAAGGACCTCACAAAATCAGCAAGGATCCAGGAAAAGTCAATTCAACAGCTGCAAGATGAGGCAAAGAGGAACAATGTACGAATTATAGGAGTCAATGCAACAGCGGGAGGCAACAAAACTGACATAAAAAGAATATTTGCAAAAATAATAGCAGAAAATTTCCCAAGCATGTAAACAGAACCTAATATACAGGGAAATGAGGCACACACAACTCAAACCAGCCACAACCAAAATAAAACTACACCCAGACATAGAATAGTGAAGTTCCGAGACCTCCAGCAAAAGAGCAGAATACTGCAAGCTGCTAGAGAAAAGAAACAGATTACCTATAAAGGAAAGCCCATCAGAATCACGGCAGACTTCTCCACACAAACCATCCAATCGAGAAGTGCTTGGAGTGAAGTGTTACAGGTCCTGAGACAGAACAGCTTCCAACCAAGACTGATGTACCCTGCCAAACTATCTCTCAAATTCAATGGAGAAATAAAATATTTCCACGACAAAGAACAATTGAAGAACTTCTTGAGATCCAAGCCAGCATTACAAAGAGTACTAAAAGATATTCTAGACTGAGAAAAATCTCACCACAATTTCAAGAACAGTAGGAATGAAACGTCAAGAAGAGCAAACAAGTAAACAGGTAGAAAAAGTAGGACACCAACACAAGTAAATAACATGATAATGATAAACCAATACATATCGGTTGTAACTATAAATATAAATGGCCTCAATTCTCCAGTCAAAAGAAACAGACTGGTAGAGTGGATTAAAAAACAAAATCCAACAATATGCTGTATACAGGAAACACATTTCACTCAAAAGGAAATCCACAGACTAAAAGTCAAGGGATGGAAAACAATCCTCCATACAATAGGAACCCAGAAAAAAGCAGGGGTAGCTATTCTGTTTGCAGATAATGTAAACTTCAATGTGACAACAATCAAAAGAGAAAGATCCTGAGAAACCACTCTGAAGATACCACCACGTATTACAGCAGCCATTGAAATTTGCCTACTAATCTATCCATAACTGTGTAAAGTTTGTAATGTTCCTATCCTATTTCATAAATGGATGTATGTTTATTATTATGTGTTTCCTACAACAACCATTGAGA